CAGCCTGCTGATTCTCTAAGCAGCCGGCTCCCAATCCTACTTTCCAGCTGACTTAATCGAAAATCAGCTATTCTTCTCTTAGCACAAAAACAATTAAACAAAAGTCTAACTTGCAGTCAAAATGACAAAAGATTAAAGTAATTTTATAATAAATTTTGACCGTCTTGTGAAAATTTCGTATAAACTTATTTTACTAAAAGAAAGTGTTTTAAATTGTAAGGAAGCATTGAACAACACTCAACTTTTATACTAAATCTCTACGAGCAAAATAAATAAAAGATATATCAATCTTTATCTTTGCCTTGAGATGAGGAAACAAGTTGAAGTGTAAAACAGTCCGTGTCACAAGAAGACAAAGACAAATCATGCTGCCTCAGTCAAGTGGAACAAAGCAAGTAGATCAAGCAACGGTCAAGATTGAACTCATCAGCCAACGGACAAGATTCAACAACAAAGTCTATAAATACAGAAGGAGTGCGGGAATACCAAGTGTGGTTAACCAATTAAGGAGCCAAGTGGAAAAGAAGGGAATCAAGTATCACAAGAACACATCCAACAATCTGATTCCCCTTCACCACTTAGGTTACCACCCCACTCATCTAATGCTCTTAGAATAGCTTATAATTCATACACATCTATAGAGCTTAGATTAGTTGGTAGTTTAGTTTTAAACCCATGTAAAACTAGACTAGTGTTAGACATTCTGGAGGGTTTGGTGATCAAATCCAGAAGGTGAGAAGGGTAAGGACATGAGTAGCTCTTGGCAAGTCGATGCCATTAGTGAAAAACCTTGGAGGACTGAGTAGCTTGGAATAAGTGTTCCAATTCCTTGTGAAAAACCTCACAATCTACGCTTAGGCCAAGGGTAGAATGGGCACTAAATGTAATGGGATATTCATTTAGTGGAAATCCAACTGAAATAGGTTGGGACGGAATGTAGGAGGATTACACCACCTCTGAACCAGAATATATCTTGTGTCACCTTTTATATTCAGCACCCAACACACACACACTTTAGTTCTCACTCATCTTCACAATTTTCCTAGCAAAGCAGCTTGCTCATCCACCGTCCAGAAAACTGTCAAGTTTTCTGAGAATCAAACTCCTTGTTCCTATTAATCAAAGTGATCTATTTTAACAGGTCTAAATCCTTCATACATATGTGTTTTATCTATTCTCAAAAGCCAAACAATGCCCAAGGTCATAGTTCGTTTCTATACCTTAAACATTGATAAAGCAGCGAAATAAGCAGCCTGCTCCTAAAGGGTTAAGCAGTCAGCTCCTGAAATCAGCAGCCAGCTCATTGAGCCAGCTGATTTTGGCAAACACATTTGCACCTTGTTTAACCCATCTCTCACACGACCAAAAGGGTCATAACATTTGTTACTATAAAGTATCACATTCTTGAGGTCAAGACTTCCGCCGTAGGTTTCAATATCTCCCAAAAGATATTGGAACTCATTCTGTTAGATGAAAAAGGGTTGAAAATGAAAAGATTTCAAAAGTCTATTCACCCCAGACTTTTGCCTCACTTGGGACCCATCAATTGGTATCAGAGTGGTTGTTCATAGAGACAATTTCTTAATCGGCTTATTTTGAACAAAAGATCAACCCCCAATTTCCCTAAACACTTAAAGTTAGAAGGGATGGAAAACATTATGAAGGATGCTCATCAAGAAGGAAAGGAAACAAGAAAGGAGAAAACAAGTTGTTATTCAAACTCTGGATTCACAAAGCCAAAAAGGGGCTGCCATGCAAATTAAAAAAAGAAGTCAAACCTACTCTAATGACATCACCAATTCTTGCCAACTTCATCAAAGAAAAGATGATCATGAAGAGGTATATTCAAAAACATCTCTAGTAATTCAGTTTATCTTGAATGTTCAAACATTTATCCCATTTTTGCTTCAATCAAAAGAACATTCAGATAAATTTATTCCTTTCACAACTGAAAGATCTTAAACTTCAGAAAGTCCAAATAGTGAATTTGCTAAGAGGATAATCCGATGATTAAGATTAATCTTATAAGGAATAAAACTGAGAAATCTCATTAAGCTCATTGCTAATGAAGATCATAAAACTGGAATGATATTGAAGTTGGCTTAACCTATCATGTCTCCAAACCTCCAGAAAACAAACACTTACTGGTCTATCCATTACGCATGCATACTCCTCAACAAATAGACCAGTAACCAACTATATACTTCCACATCACTACAAATCCACCTTACCCTTACTCCTATACCAAAGGACCTTACCTTTATCCCTCCGATTGACAACATTTTTGAGAATTCAACCACTTCACAAAATGGATCTAAAAGGTTCGAAAGAGATTTAATGATATAAAGGGAGAAAGAGAGCAAACATGATTATAGAACAAAACAAGATTATTATGATTTCATTAATTATCAATTGATATCAATCATCTCCAGACTCTATCAATTGGTACTTATGAATATTAAAAGATGATTGTTGGTTTCTCATAGTATCACACATGATGCTACTGCTCGGAAAGTAAAGGAAGGACCAAAGACAAAAGTGATGGAAATATGGAGTGGAAAGAATATGTCAAAACCAGAGATAAACTGGAATTCTCAGATCATTAACACAACTTATGTTAATGGTTTAAGAATTGTCTATTGAGCACACGCCAGTCTATGACAAAAGAAGACATCCATTTCTCAAAGGTGTCACCAAACTTGTGCTCACTGGAAAGAAGGAATTCCCATACAAGCAGCAGGCTCCCAGCTGCCCACTGAACATTATTGGTAACATCTTCAGCTCTCTGAAATCATCAAGAACCATTACCAAGCTGAAAAGACCTTCTTCTCCAGCCCTCAAGTACGAATGGATGTATCAGATTATGTTCAATCCCAATCAGAATGGCCTATTTCAAGAGGATTTAACTAGCATCAACAACATCACACAAAGATTGTTAGGATCATATTGCATTGAAGATAGATTTTGATGATATCTACAACAGTGAGATATTTCAAGCAAACAAAAGATCCTAGCACATCTATTTCTCGAGGCAAGATCTTGAATGTTGAAACAACCTTGAAGAAGGAATATGAAAAAATTCCACTTTTGGTCCCATGACTATTATACCACTTCCACATTTAGTCCCTTACTTTCAGATTGTCCACATTTAGTCCGTGACAATTATCCCCTCACCACCCCTCGTCCTTCCGACCAAAATTCCGGCAAATTTAATGCAGATTTTAGGTATAAAAAACCAAATTTAATCCAAAGACTGATATGAAAAACCCAACCTTATATAAAATTTAATGCAAAGACTGATTCTGAGGCTGATAAGTGGACTAAATTTACCGGAATTTCTGCCAGAAGGACAAGGGGTGGTGAGGGATAATGGTCACGGACTAAATGTGGACAATCTGACAGTAAGAGACTAAATGTGGAAGTAGTATAATAGTCATGGGACCAAAAGTGGATTTTTTCAAGGAATATTTATGCCAGAAGAATTAAAGGTATTTCTCCTCATCAAATTAAAATATCAATTGGTATCATCATTTGGTATCAATTGAGGGACATTCAAGTCAGGGGGAACTACTTTAAAAGGTTTAAGGAAAACCTCACTACATTCATCTTGTCTTTGAGAAGATTATCACAGATTGAGGGGGAACTTTTTCACCTTAACAAAAACTCAAGAAATGGACTCTTATTAAAAAGGAGCACCCTACTGTTTTGTAGAGCCTTGTTTTTATTAGGAGCATCCTACTCCTTAGCAGCGTCATAATAAAAACAGGAGCAACCTACTAAATACGTAGCGTCCTAATTTAGGAGCACCCTGTTAAAAAGTCACATCATGCTAATAACAATGTCCTAAGAATGTCCATTCCTGAGTAACAAGTCAAAGGGACTGAATCATCAACACAGAGGGAACGCTCAAAGTGCTTCAAGTGGATACAACTTCAATGGAAGATTGAGGATTCGTCAGATGAAGATTGCTGATGAAAAAGCATTAGCAAAACACTTAATCAAAAGGCTCAACTAAGCCTAAAGGATTTCTTGAACTACAAAGAAATGTTTGCTAAAATGCTACTTAATCTTTCAAGAGTTTCTAGGCTTCATTTGCAACCGATCAACTTCAATTGAAAAAGTCCAGAAACCAGATGACTTGTTCAATAAAAACAAATCATTATGGGAGAGATCGATCAACGTTCTGGATAACAGAAGGAGCCCGTTCAAAAGGAAGATTAGTTATATTCAGAAACCACACTACAAGTCACCAGAAACTCTATAAAGAAAGAAGGAAGAAAGATGAGTTCAGCAGGAAAAGCAGCAAGCTAAATTTTTCAACTGACTCAAAAATCACCTGCTTGCGGAAAAACACCTGTTCGTCCCATTTGTACTAGGAACAGTCTAGAGGGGGGGTGAATAGACTCTTCAGGATTTTTCAAACTTTTCTCAAAGTCACAAGTGACTCAACAGAGAAGGTTTGGGCAGGTGACAGAGAAGGTCGAGTTCTGTTGACAGAACTATACCTGGCAGCGAATAGGAGTTCTGTCCGGGTAGCCTCGGAAAAACACTAAGGAAATTTCCTTTCTGTTAACTCTTAAAGAAGATCTGCTGAACATAGAGTCCAACTTTTAGAGTTAATCAGTTTGAATCTTAAGTGCAGAAAATAAATGTGTAAGGTAAATGACACCGGGTTTTTTATAGTGGTTTAAGGAACAACTTGTTCCTCTAGTCCACTGTTCCACTAAGCTTGTAAGTTAACAGTTACAACGCCTTAGTCCCTAGCACTTAAGAAGCACTCCACGTCTTCTTCAAGTCTAGTTATTACCCGGGATGCAGCCCTTGCTTCCTGATGGCTGATCTCGTTTCACTGAGTCTCTTGAAGTATCCCCACTTCACTACTCTAGTTAATTTGAGATGTCCCTTCTTTTGCAAGAAGTGTTTGATTGAAAATCAGTTTTCTCCAACGTAGCTTCTTCACAAAGGATGTGTAGATGATGCTTTCGAAGTTTTGAAGAACTGGAGGAACTTTGCTCTTGTTGGAAGAAAAGATATGTAGATGAAATCTTTCCAACGTAAGCTTTTCTTGTTAAGGGAGATGGAGTTGTGATCTCAAGAAAGCTTGAAGGTTTGAATGATGTAAAAGCAAAGATTGAGCAAAAGTTATCATGTAGTTCTTCGAAGAGTATCTTATATACTGGAAGTGGTCTTCCCGTTGGAGTGTAGAAGACAGCTTCATTAAATGCTTGTATTGTTGATTTGACCGGTTGGTCCTTCGACTTGCTATTTTGGGGGCGAAAGGATATCCACATGGTCAATCATCAGCTTTAAATATCTCTCCGTACGTACCGCATTAATTGAGCATTTAATGCGTGTACAGTACCATGTTCCGTCGAAGAGGCTCCTAGCCGTTAGGGTATTTCCCGTTAGTTTCACGTCCGTTGGAGGTTCATTCGAATTTCTTGTATGTAAGGAGCATTTCTGGTAGAGGTAGTAGAGGGCAACTCTGTTGATATCCTGACCTTCTATCTTTGTTGCTTCTCTGATCTAACAGAGATCCTTGAGGTTCTCTGTCCCGTCGAATATGCTACAACATTACACTTAGCAAAATTCTAATACAAAAATTCTAATGGGGTACTTTAACATGCTAATTAATCCTAGCATCATCAAAATCTAATTACAATTATTCCTTACAATTCCCCCCTTTTTGATGATGCCAAAACCTTTAAACTATTTCCAGAGAAGTGCCTTTCACCATAAAAGAGATAAAGTTAAAACTTTCATTAAAAATCTTGGTGGGCAACTTAGCATAGGAAAATAGTAAGAGTAAGATACAATCAAGATAAAACAAAGTACTAGAGCAAACAGAATAACACACAAACAGAACAGAAAGGGTTAGAAAAAAATAGATATAGGATAAATAATGCCATTCAAACAGAGAGGCGGAGGAGTTATCCTATTATGTAGTCAGAGTACAAGGATGTTCCTTTACAAAATTTCCCTTGCTGCTGCAGCCATTGCTTGATTATCCAAATCTTGTAGTCTTTGCAACTCTTTATTTACTTCTGCTTTTATATCTGTGAGATTTCCAACAGTTTGATAGGAGGCCCAGATGGGAGCAAGTCTGCAGTCCAAGTAGTTGAGAACTCCTTCATGGACATTCTTTCCTGCGACAACATGTTTTTCGTACCAGTATTCTGCTTCTTCTAAAGAGCCACCACATCTCTTAAGTTTAGTCTTCATCTTCTTCATTTCACAACACGTTACCAACACAAATCTGCTCAAAACCTTCAAGAAATCATCATCTCCTGCAGGTATTAAACTCAATATCTATTATCTTCTTTTAGTATTCAAACTTGAAAATTATTCTCCCTCTTAAATAAATTTTCTGTGATATACGGAAAGAAAATATAGATAACATGCTAACATACCTTTGAAACATACTCTGCATCAATTTTTATCATCTCAATGCTCTCTTTATTCGTACCATAGAGCGAAAAGAATTGATGGAACAAGAATAAATATTTTCTTCAATTTAGCTTCAATTCATATACGTACTGCTATTGATGACTTGATAGAAGTATAGAGAGAACCGTAGGTGAGTAATAAAAGTAGAGAATGGTTGGAGGCTTGGAGCAAGAAATACTTTGTAAGAAAAACTAGAGGAATGAAAAGATCACTAGATCAGCTAATACTCAAACATACATTCTTTGTTCATTTAAAAGAGAGAGACACGTACCACATACATCAGACCCAAGTCACGGGTTGATGTATGGGAAAAGCTACTCATATGCATGCTGCACTTTTTATTTGTCATTTTGTTAATTAGTGACATGCAAAACAACAATTATATTTAATGATACCAGGCTAGCTCATACTCACGTTATGTGTTTGCTTTCAATTCAAAAATAGTTGTAGACTTGCAGTTTAATTCTTAATTTTCATTAATAAAATAGTACCGATAATAGCTTAACATGTGTAAGTCATCCCTATCAAAACAAAATAACTTGGCAGGTTAGTTTTGTTTCTTTCTCAATGAGATAAACTCAAATATCCTTTTAAATAATACAAGTACATAATTAAAACAGTTAGTGTTCATATATAAATATTCATGAAACTAGTAGTACAAACAATTGGCAATAGTTCAAGTTGTTCGTTCATGTATTATGAATGCTTTATCTATATTCAATTAGATAACATCTTAAAGTTTAGTTTGTGATATGTTTAATGATGAATTCACGCTTATATAATTTTGTAGCATGGCAAACATAAGCAAAAGAGAATTTGACGTTCTTGATTTGTCCGGTCAAAAATATCTGGAATGGAAAGTTGATGTTTTAGCACATTTAAAGGCTAATGGTCTTGAAGACACCATTGAGGCTGATAATCAATCATCCTCTCAGGATAAAGCGAAAGCTATAATTTTCCTCCGTCATCATCTCCATGAAAGTCTCAAATCTGAATATCTTTTGGTTGATAACCCAAAAGAATTATGGGGCAATTTACAAGAGAGATATGGCCACCAACAAAAGGTACTTTTGCCAAAAGCTCAGTATGACTGGACCAATTTAAGATTCCAGGATTTTAAATCAATCAGTGACTATAATTCTGCTATGTTCCAAATAACATCTAAACTAAAGTTATGTGGACAAAAAGTCACTGATGCTGATATGTTGGAGAAAACCTTTTCTACAATGCATATTTCTAATATGCTGCTACAGCAGCAATATAGAGAAAAGGGTTTTAAAAAATACTCCGACTTAATATCGGTATTATTGGTAGCTGAGCAAATAATGACCGTTTGACGAAAAACCACAATTTGATACCCACCGGTTCTAGTCCTTCGCTTTATGGTCCATCTGGCCATAATTTAGCCACTGAATCAAATGCAACATACAGTGGCAGTAGAAGGCAATTTAAACGTGGGCATTTTAGTGGTCATAATAACAAGCATCAGCGAGGATATAAACGGGTTGACAGACCGAATTATAAAGGCAAGGGCAAACAAAAAGCCCATCAAATAAATCACCCTACAAAAACCTCGGTAAAACGACTTGTTATAAATGTGGCATGACGGGGCACTGGGCTAATAAATGTCGCACGGCTAAACATCTTGTGGAGTTATTTCAAGCTTCCATGAATTTGAACAAAGGCAAAAATATGGAAGCTAATTATGTCAATGACACAACTCCATCTTTGCCAAAATTTGACGTGTCCGATTTTTTCGCGGATGATGCCATTACGGATGATGCTTTTGCCATAAACCAAAATGTTACAAAATAATATAGTAGACTCCTTAAGTTGTATAATACTAGTTATATGTACTTTTTATTTCTTCCCCTTTTATTTTGTTTTTAAATAAATGTGTGTAATGCATGTACTCTTATGTTAAATAATATGCATAATTTGCGATCAAGCTTGTGTTTATTTATATATATTGAAGATATGGATCATTCAAATGATAAAGAGCTATGTCTGATAGACAACGCCACAATGCACACCATTTTGAGAAATAAAATATATTTTTCTCAAATGACTTTCGTTGAAGCTAAAGTCAATACAATATCAGGTGTTGCGAAGCTCATTAAAGACTCTGGGAAAGCATATGTGATGCTCCCTAACGGGACAAAAATAATTATAAATGACGCTTTATACTCCAGTAAATTGCGGAGAAATTTATTGAGTTTTAAAGATATGCGTCACAATGGTTATCACATAGAAACCATGAATGAAAATCAAAAGGAATATCTTTATCTCACGACAACTAAATCCGGCACTAAATATATTTGTGAAAAAATGCCAGCATATTCCTCAGGACTATATTTCACATATATAAGTCCATTCGAAATAAATTTGGTTTCTAACACAAAGTTAGATGATCAGAAAACAATCATGTTGTGGCATGACCGTTTAGGTCACCCAGGCCATGTAATGATACATAAAATCATTAAGACTTCACTTGGACACCCATTAAAAAATATAAGGGTTCCAATATCAAGAGATTTTCCTTGTAAGGCCTGTTCTCTTGGCAAAATGATCATCAGGCCCTCCATTAACAAAATTGCAACTGAATCACCTGCATTTTAGAAAGGATTCAAGGAGATATTTGTGGGCCGATAGCCCCACCATGTGGTCCATTTCGATATTTTATGGTGTTGATTGATGCTTCAACACGTTGGTCACATGTTAGTCTTTTATCGACTAGAAATTCAGCATTTGCTAAACTCCTCGCTCAAATTATATGATTAAGAGCGCATTTTCCGGATCATTCTATAAAGAGAATCCGACTTGATAATGCAGGAGAATTTACTTCCCAATTATTTAACAACTATTGTATATCGATTGGGATTGATGTGGAGCACCCTGTTGCTCGTGTCCATACACAAAATGGTCTTGTTGAATCTTTGATTAAACGATTACAATTAATCGCCAGACCATTATTAATGAAGTGTAACTTACCTTCATCAGCTTGGGACATGCTATTTTACATGCAGCAAATTTAATTCAGCTTAGACCAACTGCATATCATGAATATTCCCCAATGCAATTAGTAACTGGACAAGAGTCAAACTTGGCACACATTAAGGTATTTGGTTGTGCTGTTTATGTTCCAATTGATCCACCTCATCGTACAAAAATGGGTCCTCAAAGAAGGTTGGGAATTTATGTGGGTTTTGAATCTCCCTCAATAATAAAATATCTTGAACGATGACTCGTGACTTCCACAACACGTTTCAGACTGTCATTTCAATGAGATGGTATTCCCAACCTTAGGGGGAGAAAATAATAAATTAGACTCAAGTACGAAAGAAATTACATGGAATGCAACAGGATTATCACATCTTGATTCAAGATCAAATATATGTGAGCAAGAGGTGCAAAAGATAACCCATTTACAAAATGTTGCAAACCAGTTGCGTGATGCATTCACAGATACAAAGAAAGTGACAAAGTCACATATTCCTGCCATGATTGCCCCTGCCAGGTTTGAAATCCCAGCAGAGAATTTTTGAAAATATCCTGCAAATGATTCTTCTATACGCAAAAAGCGTGCCAGGCCACTTGGATCGAAAGACATAAAACCAAGAAAAACTAAAAGGCAGGAACAGATTTGTGATGCCAAAGATGTTCATCCTTCTGAACAAGAAACTGAACAATTTGAAAATATTGGCATAGAAAATGATATTGACAAAAAAACATCTCAAATGATGATCCAACTTCCTTAAACGAGGAAGATATTCCAGATAATGATAGAAACGTTGATAATTATGAAATTTCAGTAAAGTACGTTTCTACTGGAATACAATGGAATCGAAAAGATATTGATATTAATGAGATATTTGTCTATGTCGTTGCCACATATGTTATGAATGAAAACAATGACAATGAGCCAAAATCAATAGAAGAATGTCGGAAACGACACGATTGGCCAAAATGGAATGAAGCTATTCAAGCTGAATTAAAATCACTTGAAAAACATGATGTTTTTTGACTGATAGTCCCTACGCCAAAAGGCATAAAACCAGTGGGCTTTAAATGGGTATTTGTGCGTAAACGCAATGAGAAGAATGAAATCATAAGATATAAAGCCCAACTTGTTGCCCAAGGGTTTTCTCAAATACCGGGAATTGATTATGAAGAAACCTATTCTCCAGTAGTTGATGCAACTACATTAAGGTTTCTCATTGGCATGTCTGTTTTTGAAAGGCTGCAAATGCGCCTAATGGATGTAGTGATTGCATATTTATACGGTTCACTCGATACAGACATTTATATGAAAGTTCCCGGTGGATTTAAAATGCGTGAAGCTTATAGCTTGAAACCTCGAGAAATGTTTTCCATTAAATTACAAAAGTCATTGTATGGACTAAAACAATCTGGACGAATGTGGTATAATCGTCTCAGTGAATACCTTGTCAAAGAAGGATATAAGAATGATCCAATTAGTCCATGTGTTTTCATTCGGCGATCAAATTCGGAGTTCATCATAATTGCAGTATATGTTGATGACTTAAACATTATTGGAACTCCCGATGAAATTGAAAATACTGAAAAATATCTTTTGAAAGAATTTGAAATGAAAGATCTCGGGAGAACCAAATTTTGTCTCGAACTTCAAATTGAGCATTTGAGGAATGGAATTTTCATCCATCAATCCAATTACACCGAGAAAGTTTTGAAGAGATTCTATATGGACAAAGCTCATCCGTTGACTTCACCAATGGTGATTAGATCTCTCAACATACACGATGATCCATTCCGTCCCCGAGAAGACAACGAAGAAATACTCGGTCCTGAAGTACCATATCTGAGTGCTATTGGAGCTTTAATGTATTTAGCTAATAATACTAGACCAAATATTGCATTTTCTGTAAATTTATTAGCTAGGTACAGCTCATGCCCAACAAGGCGTCATTGGAACGGGATCGAGCACATATTCCGTTATCTCCGTGGTACAGTTGATCTCGGCCTATTCTACCACAAAGTTGCAAAAGCTACTTTAATCGGATATGCAGACGCTGGATACTTATCAGATCCTCAAAAGGCGAAATCACAAACCGGGTACGTATTTACTTATGGTAGCACCGTAATCTCATGGAGATCTATGAAGCAGACATTGACAGCTACATCATCAAATCATTCTGAGTTAATTGCACTATAAGAAACCGGAAGAGAATGTGTATGGTTGCGATCTATGATTCAACACATCCAAAATGAATGCGGTATGAAGCCTATCACTATTCAACCTACTGTGATCTACGAAGATAACACTGCGTGCATAGCTCAGATTAAAGAAGGTTACATCAAAGGAGACAGAACAAAACACATATCACCAAAGTTGTTCTCTACTCATGATCTAGAAAAAGATGGGACGATCACCATTCAACAAATCAGATCCAGTGAAAATCTGACCGATCTCTTCACCAAATCTTTACCCCCGAAGAAGTTCATAGAACTTGTACAGAAAATCGGCATGCGACGTATTCATAATTTATGTTAATTTCAGGGGGAGTATTTGAATGCACTGCACTCTTTTTTCCTTCATCAGGTTTTGATCCCACTGGGGTTTTCCTGATAAGGTTTTTAACGAGACAGTACATCCAAATACAACGACATTATATGTCGTAATCTTTACCCCTTAACTTTCACACTAATTTTTCACAATAAGTTTTCACAATAACAAAATAATTATTCAAGGATGAACATTCAAGAGGGAGTGTTGTAAATTCCTGAGAAAGACAAGTGTGAATTGGTCATCCTTGACATTAGGACACCAAGCTACTCCTGGTCCCCGTAATAAGCTTACTCATCTAATTCATATCCTTGTAATCATAGTTAGACAAGTGGGTAGATCTAATACTGCCAGCAAATTGTGTAGAATCATTCCTAGATGATTCATCCTTAAGCTTGACTAGTATAAATAGGGTTAGTTCAATTCTTTGTAAACTCATTCAGAAATTCTCAGATTAAGAAGAAGATATTCAGAGCTTTTATTAATATATCTATCTCTTAAGTTTAGTCTTCATCTTCTTTATTTAACAACACACCTTATATTTATGTCTATATATAAACTTACACCCAGGAATGCATGTCACGCCCCAAATCGCATCCGAGCCACGTAGACAACCGCCGTACAACCCGATAAGAACAACATTAGTTCATCCTTATTGAATCATACAAGGCGTCCGATAGATTCAATTGCCAAACCAATTAGTAAACACATACAATCAACATCAATATCGTAATCAAACAAATGCGGAAATAATATGTTTGATATTTAGCCACACGTGGCAAACATGAAAACGCAGGCCCCCAACAGTTTAAAGGAAAACATTGTTCAAATATCCATGAGGAGTTTACAAATTTTAAATAAGAATGGAAGCACGAACAACGTCTTCCTTCTTGATCAGTCACCCTAGGCAAAGGTGCAGGTAGTAGGACTCTAGCCTCAACCTGAAAAAAATGTGAGGGCCCCCGGAGGGGTCAGTACTCCATAGAAGTACTAGTGACAAACAGGCTATATGAAGAATAACTAATGTTTCAGACACGAGACCCAAAAATAGGGTGATACATACATACATATATATATGTATGTATGTATGTATGTATATATATACATACATACATACATACATACATACATATATATATATATATATATATATATATATATATGTGTGTGTGTGTGTGTGTGTGTGTCTCATCCACCCGATGATACATACTCTATATATATATTCGTAAATACTTAACACGTAGGTCATTTACCTTAAAGAGTCTTTTAGAGATAAAGTTCTTACATGACTTATCTCACTTCTTTCCTGGATTCCTAGCTCACAAGCTATGTTCTACATTCGTAATATCCTACCGAGTTTCAGGATCATTTAACGTCCCATGGATACTCAACCCCAACCGAGTTT